CCAAACCCTAAACCCCAAACCCTAAACCCTAAACCCTAAACCCTAAACCCTAAACCCTAACTCCAAACCCTAGAAACTCTAAGCGCTAAACCCTCAGCCCTGGACCCCCAAGCACATCGCCGCTGCCCTCCCCCCAACACAATAAACCCGCTGGCAGCACAGACTAAGGGTTTAGGGTTTAGGGTTTACGTGGGCCCCTGCCACAAGACGCCCCAAAAGGCCCCCCTTCAAAAGGGCCCCCAAGAAAGTGGAAGACATGCAGATGTTCCGCAGCAAACGAATGCATGCACTGAAAGCTGCTGCTGCTTCTACCACAGCAACGCTGCTGCTGCTGCTGCTGCTGCTGCTGGGGCTGGCGCTGCTGCTGCTGCTGCTGGGGCTGGCGTTGCTGCTGGTGCTACTTGAGGAAGAGGCTGCTTCTGGGTGCTGCTGCTTCTCCTCAGCAGCAGCAGCAGCAACGGCAGCAGCTAAACGGTCTAGCTGCAGCAGCAGCAGCAGCAGCAGTTGCTGCTGCGTCTGCTGCTCCGTGCTGCAGCGCTCCCGCCATACTGCACTCTCGCAGGTTCGCTGCAGCAGCAAGCCCAAGAGAAATCGCGTCGGGAGCCCAAAACCCTAAACCCTAAACCCTAAACACCAAACCCTAAACCCTAAAACCTAAAGCCAATCTCTACGCCCTAAACGCTAAGCCCTATGCCTGACCTTTATAAGTGCAAGCAGCAGCAGATAAAGCTCGTCCTGCCGCTTGCTGCCCTCAGCAGCAGCAGCAGCAGCAGCAGCGGCAGCAGCAGGAGAGTTGAGGGGCCCCCAGGATCCCTCTGCTTCCCTCCCCTCCATCTGCTGCAGCAAATTCCTTAAGGGCCCCTCCAGCACCTTCGCTTGCTGCTGCTTCAGCGCCAGCAGGGGGGCCCCCCCAGGGGACCCCAGAGGGCCCCAGGGGGCCCCCAGGGGGCCCCCTGAGATCCCCGAGGACCCCCCCAGAGGAGCCCCCGAGGGGCCCCCAGAGAGCCCCTGGTGGCCCCCAGGGGGCCCCTGAAAGCCCCCAGGTGCCCAGTGATCTGGGCCATTGCTCATTTTGTGAGGTTTTGTTTGGGTATTGGGGAAGTTAAAGGGGCCCCTTAGCTCTGGGGGCCCCCTGGGTTCGTGAGGGGCCCCCAGGGTGCCCAGGGGGCGCGAAGTTGCGTCGTTTGAGTCGAAATTAAGTTCTAAAACTCTTTAATTTTATTGAAATTGAAAATAAAATCAAATAAAAGACCTAACGATTGTTCAGCAGCAGCGCAGGGGGCCCCCCGAAGGCCCCCGCCAGCCCCGGGGGGGCCCCTGGACGGCCCCGGGAGCCCCCAGGGGGGCCCCCTAAGGGGCCCCCGGGAGCCCCCAACGGACTTCTTGGGGCTTTCTGAGAAAGCTTTGAAGGCCCTCAAGAAGCCCTTGGGGGCCCCCTAAGAGGCTCCTGGGGCCCCTGGGGGGGCCCCTGGGGGGTCCCCTAGGGGGCCCCTGGGGCCCCCTTAAAAGAGCCCCTCAGAGGACCTTAAAAGGGATTTTGGGGCCCCCGAAAGGCTCCTGGGGGCCCCTAGGAGTTCCCTGGGGGCCCTCACGAGGCCCTGGGGGCCCCCTCGAGGCCCTGGGGGCCCCTGGGGGCCCCTAGGAGCCCCCCAAGAGGTCTCCTGGGGCCCCCAAAAAGGGTACGGGAGCGGCAAGGCCCCCAACAGGCCCAAGGGGGGCCCCTAGGAGGGCTTTTGGGGCCCCCAAGGGGCCCCCGGGGGCCCCCAAGAAGGCTCTGTGAACTCTAGTTGGCCCCTGGGGCTCTCCGAGACCCTGGGGAGCCCCAAAGGGCCTCTGGGGGCCCCCAACGAATCTCTGGGGCCCCCAATGGGGCCCCTTGGGGCCCCCAAGGGGCCTCTGGGAACCCTCAAGGGTTTGGAGTTAGCAGCAGCAAGAGGGGCCTCTAGTTTTGCTGCTAAGCCCTGAATGCAGAGTCTACAGGGAAAGCTCTTGGCTGCTGCACCTCAAACCCTAAACCCTAGACCCTAAACCCTAAACCCTAAACCCTAAACCCTAGGCTATGTGCGGAGACCGCGTTCTTCAAAAAAAAGAAAGTGCATGCGTTGCTGCTGCTGCTGGGCCCTTTCGGTTGGGGTGTACGTACAACCCGTTGCTGCTGCGCTGTCTGTACACCCAAAGCTCGCAGCTGGTCATACGACTGCCGCGTTGCTGCTGCACAGCCGTCTAAAGCTGCTCTTGCTGCTGCTGCTGCTGCTGCTGCTGCTGCTGCTG